AAACATTTGCCTTTAATCATCACTTATATTTTTATAATGGGTTTTTTCACCTATTATCGGTATTAAGAATACTTTGTTTCCAATGTATTTCCTAATTTTGCTGGTATTATCTTTAATTATATCTTCATAACTTTTATCAATATGCCAATATTCACAGCTATTAGTCTCATGATTATCTGAATATTTATTCATAGTTCTGATAATCAACTCAAATTCACTACCATCACTTTTTCCAAATATATTGTTGGTTATCTTTGTAATATAATTTATTAAAATATTAGCTTGATGTGCATTTACTTTTATACTCTTTTCTGCAATAGTTTTCTCAACTACATTTAGAATACAGTGATTGAAATATTTACATTCTTCTGATCTTATAACTTTATTCTCATTCCCTATAATCTCTATATTTGATAATAGTTCTTGATCTTCTTTTGATATTCCCAAATTATAAAATGCGAATTGTTTTCCTAACTCAATCTTTTCTAAAGCTTTAGATAATTCATTATTAATGTTTTCATCTTCCGCAAAGCACTGATAAAAATTATTGTTATCACTTAAAATTTTTAAATGTCCTAATTCATCATGCAAAATGCTAAGCCGATTATATAAATCTATCTCTTCCATAAAAATGTCCTTCCTATTGACAATTTAATAGGACAGTAATCAGTATTAGTTTCTCTGTCAAATTAAAAACAAAATTTTATTGTAAATTTTCAACTAAACATTGAAGCAACTACAATGGATCAGATCAATAGAAACGATATGGTCCAAAATGGTTGAACAGTTTTTCAACAAAGTTAAGGATAAATTCGATGGTTAAAATTAAGCTGCAAGCGTTTTACTTCTAGCGTTAAAATCATTTTAATTATTCCTATAATTTCTTCTGGCTCTGCTAGAAATAGAAAATTTGAGCAAAAACATATAAACTGGACTTTTGACAAATTGTGATAAATTTGCAACTATAACTGAAGAATAAAAATAATTTAATGAAAAAAGTCAAAAATATTGAAGAGCTAAAAAAATATTTCAATAATATTGAAAATCTTTTTTCCCTATGAAAAAAATTCATGCATTGATTTAATCTTTGCTTTAGCAACAAATTTTACATTAAAAGCAATGACAGTAGTTGAATTAAGCCTTAGTAGATTTTTTAAAAGAAAATATAGTAGCTTATATCGTGCTATTGGTGGTTATTTTACATCTCGCAAGAATAAAAAAAATAGAGAAGAAAAAAGAGCAGAAGCAAAGGAAAAAATAAAAAGTTTTTTGTTCGAGTCAGCAATAGAGGATACAGGGAATATACATACATTTGCAATAGATATTACTGGCAATATAAAAAAGCACTCAGCTAAATCAGAAGATAGAAGTTATATTCATTCAGGTTCTATTGGAGGAATGAGTATAGGGCATAATTACAGTGTTATAGCACTAAAAGAAGATTATGGTTGGATGCTTCCAGTGACAATAGATAGAGTGCCACATAGTGAGAATAAATATGATTTTAGTGTGATTCAAGCTGAATCTGTATTA